GTGCCATTTGTATTATCTGTGCTCAAACTTCAGATGATATGTTGGGTTAATCTGTGATCTATGGCTTGACGTTTAAATTGTGTCTGTGGCCAAAGCGCAGTTTGCCTACTTCAGTTTTGCCACAGTGAATAAGTATTTGCAGTTGTCTTCTAATAGCCTGTCCTTACTGCTGCCAATTGCTGCGTTTTATTAACAACGTCTTTAGAACTTAAACATTTCATGAATATTAAGCGGGGCGAACAGTCGGAGAATAAAGTGCTCTCTGATACGCATCAGGCTCATTGTAAACAGCCTACGTCATTAGTCAGTTGAATGGGCAAGTAGGACCTGCTATGACATATGTTTTATCTCGAATCACACAGATGACATCGTCTGAGGTTCATGTGCTGCTCCGTGTCATGTTGAATAATGCTGCTGGTACAACTCAGTACATCTGTTTGTTGCTGTGTGACATTACTGTGACCTGTGGGTAACTGAAACGGCTCGTAAGCCTGAGGCCCTCAAGGACCCAGCAATCGTAATCTGGCTGCACTCGTAATATATCATTAGTCGGATGAGAGTAAGTTCTTTGATGGGCCCGAATGGAGGTGACTCAGGAAACGAGATAGGCTTCGTCTTGATGAGTTGCCCTCCTGGCCCTGTAAGACTTTTCCTCCTTGTTCTTCTCCACGGGGCTTTATCTGCAGTCACTTCTCCCTCTAACCTCTTTATACTCACCTCTTCTCCTCTGTGCTCTGTAGAAAGGAAGAAAGATGTGTTCTCACAGCATGTTCCTCTAAGAGTCAATGTTTTTTTCCCCTGTGGCATAGGCGTAAAAACACGTCAAGGAGGGGGTGTCATGCAGAGGGTCAGATCGAAAAGACTGACATTAGTCAAAGAACAAGTTTCAAAACTGGCAGCCAGTGAAAAACTTTTATTCTGTGTTGTTAATTTGTATTAACAAACACACACACACAAAAAAAATTCACCTCACTCACTTCATGTGATGACATCCTATTTAGTTGCTGTGATTTCCAGCTAATGCATGTTACAGAACAGACTCACTCACACTGTTGTCAGTAAATCTAAACCAGCTCCCAATCACCTTAATGTTTCAAACTCCTTAAATACATTCAGTTAAATTAGACCAAAATGGGCATGTCTCCCACAGTGTTCTTATCACTGTCATGTTTGCATGTTCACTCAGTCTGCACGGATGATTTCCAAAACATAAACTAACAAGCATGATGAAAAGATGAACAATTTATGGGACATTTCAACACCCAACAATTACTGTTTTCTCGCAGCGTCTCCATGCTTAACTTCTGAATGGACGTGGAGGTGGGCTGTGCTTTGACTCCAAATTGGGGCAACTTTTCAAGTCACTCCAAGCAAGCTATTGTGATTACTATTATGTTATTTTTAGAAAGAATAAGATAGCACTGAGTGCAAAGGAAATGAGATGAAATGAGGGGAGGGCGATGGGGTGTAGAGATGTAAACGATAAACAGAGAGGGGAAGGGGCAGTGTCACGGCGAGGATTAAAGTGGTTGAAGACGAAGCAAAGGACGAGCGGCTCATCGTCAAGTCCAGTTCAACATCCGACCGTGTTTGGTGCACACTGCTCCTCCGGTGAAGAAGCAGAAGCTGTGAGACAGAAAATACAAGATTACAGGACATCTGAGCATAAAAAGAACTGCTGTCTTTAACACAGAGGAGGGAGAAGTGCCTTTTTGTCAAGTTACCAACTTTTGATATTGGTGACTGAGTAAGTATTGATTTTGGCTGGCTCTTGACGAGGTTTGCAAAGATTTATCTATGCATGAATCAGAGAATACGGCAGACTATAACAGGAGGATCAAATGGATGGATGATTGAAAGGTTAAGAAACTAAATATTCAGATGATCTAAAATGATTTGCAAAGAACTGTATTAAAGAATTTAGTGTTTCATCATCTTTTTATTGCTGAAGAAATAAAAAGCTATTTTTATTTTTGTACATCAGTTGGATATGTTGTTGTCTTTCCATGCGATCACTCACTGAAGTCTTGCACTGTCACAGTTGTGTAATATGGAGCTGATTCTCTGCTTGCAGACAGTCCTGACCATGAGAAGTGTGCGTGCGTGCTTCTGTCTGGCTCTGCTGCTTCCTTTGTGTGTTCAGAGCCGGAGGAGCAGTCTGGCTGTTGCCAAACTCGATGAAGACACAGAGAGGGACATGCTGGCTGTCGACATCTTAAACCGCAACGGTGCGTTGAGCTCACTGCTCCGATCACAGCATCATCTCGTGCTCAGGCGAGCCCCGCGCCCTGCCTCCCAGGTGCCAAAGAGAGCCCAGCAGGGGTCCCGTTTTGCTCTGTCCCTTGATGTTCCCACCAGCATCCTCAGTGTACTCATAGACCTAGCCAAGAATCAGGACATGAGGACCAAGGCAGCAGCCAATGCAGAGCTGATGGCACGAATAGGCAAGAGGAAATGAAAGCCCCCCGGAGAAGTTTGAAGGCTTGATGGAGGAAATCTCACTTCACAACAGAGCTAACACATTGCGGCACTGACACCTGGTTAGAAACAATGTTAGTTCATGTGAAAGTAGTCATTGCGGTCAGTATCTGTCCTTTAGAGCTTAGATCTGCTTTACTTTTATACTTTAATCCATTTACATTCCACACACAAACCACACCATGGACTGATTAATCACTACAGTGATGTGAAAAAACAAACAAAAAACCAACAACAACAATCACAACAAGGACACTGCAAACAATGTAAGATGATGCTGGTGTTTAGTCTCAGATACTCACCACTGGCTCCCAAACTGTGACTCGGAGAAGTGTTTTATTGTATTTGCATGCAATCCGTAGAAAGCATACAATTAAATCCAATATCATAATCCATTTTTTCTCAAGTCTAATTCATTTCTGCACTGATATCAGGCACGCTTGCCATAATTACAAGCATCAGGAGCCCATAAAGCACAAATGAATGGGTCTCAGCCAAATGAGCCTGCGTCACCCACAGCAGGCGCTGATGGGTGATAACAGGACAAAGACACGCGCAGGATATTGACCTCTGAAAAGAAGAAGAGACCCTTTCTAAAAACCTTTGTTCACTACTGATACATTTGGCAAACAAGTCACAGCTATTCTTAGTCTGAAGCCCTATCTGCTCTGGATTAGACTAACATCTATGGCATAATTAATCTGTGCTCTTACACCGAGCAAGAAATGTGAAGCAACAGAGTGAAATAAACTGCTCATCTGATTTACACTGTGAGGCTTTTTTCTTCTTCTCTGTTTTATGCTGACCATGACTTTGGCTTGATTTAAATATCATCTTCACACTTTTGGACCTCAAAAATTGTGCTGATATAACAGAAACTAAATGAAACAAATCACTTCAATTACTATTAGTATTAGTAAAGAAGCCACTAATACCCTGCTGAGCAGCAGACAAACTATCTGGAATTAAAATAAATGCTTTGACAGTTATTTACACAATAGTATTAGATTGTTGCCTTAGCTGGCATTAATTAGCTTGGGGTTGTTTACACTGCCATGAGAATATTACAACAGTATTATCTCTGTTTTTTTCAAACCTTTAGCCTAAAAGCATCTCTTGTAGCAGTTACCACGGGCGGTAAACCACAAATAAAACAAGTGTTTCTGCTTTTAAACAGTAATTCTACTCTGTGTTTAAGCTGGAGCTTTGTTTCCCATGGCACAGCTCTATAGTCTGACGTATCTGTCTGGTGAAGCATACTTAAAATATGAACTTATCATGAAGTTCAAATAAATAAAACTCACATCATCATCATCATCACAAGGCAGTTATCACCATAAACCGCAACTGGAGTGTACTCTGATTTATGTAATGAGTGCTCTCATCTGTGACACCGCAGTCTTTATTTGTCCCTTTCAGTTTGGCTTCCAAGTTGTTGCACGCATTGGCCGAGACAGCTGCTAAGAGTACAGGAAATACACTTGGACTGAACATTTCAGTCATTAAGTAACCATTTTCCCTCCTAACAAAACCTACAGCGTTTGCCTGTCTGAGCATTATTTGACTATTCCAAATTTTCACTATTCCACTGATGATGAGATGAGAAATGCTTTGTTTATCCCATATCTTTTGAATTGGACACTTTTATAGTTGTGATGGAGAGGAGGCTTGTGAGAGGAGGCATATTTGGGAAATTCTTTTGAATTTACCAAATAACCTGTTGAAAAAAATCTGGCAGATGGTTCTTTGTCAGACAGATATATTGTGTTATGGAGGATGATAACGTGCGGTATGAAAGATTTCCCGTGTGTTTCTTTGTGACAGCAGAGTTGAATCAGTCTGTTAGAGAAGGAGCTCTGCTGCCTGTCCAGTAAGTCATGCAGAGGTTTCTCAGGATTATCCATGATGGATGATGGTTTTTCAGATGCCTCGTCTTCATCACAGCTATAAAAGTGTCCAGTTTGCAACCAGTCAGAGGGCCAGCCTTCCTAATCAGTTTATTCAGACTGTTGGTGTCACCAGCTTTGATGCTGCTCCCTGAGCAGACCACAGCAAAGGACACTGAGTGATAGAAAACCTCCATCACTCTGCTTCACACTCTCAGCTTTTGTAGGAAGTAGAGCCTGCTCGTGCCCTGTTTATCCAGCCTGTGCTGGTCTTCCAGTTGTACTCCTCCACCATATCCAGATCCTGTCCTATAAACGATAAACAGAGAGGGGAATGGATTGTTCAGCCAACCTCTTCCTTCTGAAGTCCATCACCATCCAGGTGGTGTCACTGCTTCACAGATGATTCCTCACAGACCACCCCATACATAGTTTAGTCCTCCTGTCCATCACTAATACATCCAACCACTGCAGAATCATCAGAGTATTACTGTAGGTAGCATGACCAGGAAGTATAAGGGAAGTCTGAGGTGTACCAGGTGAACAGGAATGGAGTGAGCACAGATTCCTGTGGAGCTACTGTACTGCACATCAACCAAATCACACAGAGCTCTGTTCAGCATACTGCACCCTCTTTGTGAGATAGTCAGCAATCCATGAGATGGTGGACGTTTACTGACATTTCCTGTAGCTTTTCTCACAGCAGCAGCCGATTCATTCAAAATGCACTAGAGAAATCAACGAAAGTGGGCTTCACTGCTCAGTCATTACTGTACAGATGCATCAGCATGCAGATGATCTCATCATCTTATCACGATGTGGTCTGTATGTGGTATTTCTGCCGAACTGAATGTTTGGCAGGATGGTCACATTTGAAGATTAAAGATTTTTGTATATTTAAATATTTAAATGTTTTGTGATAAAATAGATTATGTAAAAAACTGCCCAGTAAAGTTACGTATGTAACAGCAGAAAGTTCCTAACTGCAGTTCCTTGCTCATCCACAAGATGTCCTTTGCTTTTTTTACTTCCGTAATTAATTGAAATCTTCATCCACTATCCTTTTAGGTGCCATTTTAACATTTTGGATGAATAGGTGTTTTCACAAGTGTTGAGTATGCCCAGTGGATAGCATGTTGTTTAAAAAAAAAGAAAAAAAGAACGACACTAACCCTAAAATAAAGACAGGTACATTCAAAATGGCGCAGGCTTTAATTACAGCCGTTAGCAGGTGCCAATAATTAGCGGTTCAGCCAGCTAGCGGGAAGGCGCTTCACGGGACGAACACGACAAACGTAAGGGTTCATCTAAGGATTTTGCTTCGCTATGATTTGTTTTAATTACCACGAACAGATTTAATATAAACCGTGAACTTTAACGAGCATTTTCTTTATTTTTCTTCTTTTTGTGGAGCCATTGTCTTTATTTGACGGTGTACACTTTGTTCACGGGCGAGAAAGCCTAGTTTAGAAATGGCTAAATGAAGCTGTTCAGTGTCATACTGAGCAGCCTCACCCCCCATGTATATGTGAACTCCAGTGTCCTTTAATTCATGTATTTTAAATTCATAGCGGCTTTCATTTGTCTAAACATCTGTTTTAGCTGGATTGAGCCATAAACGAGTACACAGAAATGTATCTGCTGCTTTTTCCTACAGTAACTTCTTGACTTTTAGGATTTTCCTTTGGTGCGCACAGGTGATGTCAGACAATGACGTGTAGCCCAGTGTGATAACACCTGACAGTGCGCACACACCTCGTCAGCGTGAGCCAATCACCAGTGTGAGATGCAACGTGTGCTGAGCAATGAACTATGACCTAATTTGTGAAAAGTACATGTGTTCTCATGTCCTCCAGCATTATAAAATAATGCTGTAATTAAAGCATACATTCCCCTAAATAACATCTTTCCTCAGATCTCCTCAACCGCTTTGGAGCCTCACAGATTCAATTCAGTTTTGAAGCCACTAAGCAGTAGAGTAGAGTTTGTTAGAATTAGGTTAGTGCTGCTCTGCTGAACACACTGCCTGATTCTTCATGCAGCTGTGTATTTTTTAATTTTAGCTTAACTTTCTTTAAGATACTGGGTTATTTATAACAAGTTAAAATCCAGGGCCAGTGGGAGTGTTTATGCAGGATTTCTCAATAAAGCTGATGAGTTGCAACCAGATCAACAGTCATCAGCACAAAGGTCAGTGACCAAGTGTTGCAAGAAACAGCAACAAGAGAGGAGCGTGTACTTTATTTCAGAGGCTTTTGTGGTCCACACTGCTGGGAGCAGTGCTTCGGGAACAAAAACGATCAACATAAGGATTATATTCAGACAGGGTTGGGAGAAGTCTCGAGTTTCCTAAACTGTAAGAGTTAACATTCTTGATTGTTTCTTGTCTTTTCTTTTTATTGGGACATAATCATGAAATTTAAGGAATGTTTATCATACAAGTTATATTTATAAATGAGTAAGACTGACTGCCAAAAATGGCCTCCAGTTCCAGAATTTGCTGAAATCGTTTTCCTAAATTTATTACTGGTATTTTCAGTTTTAAACTGCAAAGCTACTGCTGTCTCCTTCTGTCTCCTTATTTTTCACATGAAGCCTAGCTGCCACACTGATCATACTTATAATTGCAAGTCGAGTTGTTCTCATATGGATTATGCTATGAGGTCACTCAGCCTTTTCACGCCATCTAACCTCTCCAAGTAAGTGCTTTGTGATGGTTGTCACCCTTAGCTCTTTTGCCATTTTTAAATTTTTTTTTTTAAATATATGAGCTGATGACCTGACGTCTTACACCTTTTTCTCAGGTGTGTAACAGCGAGCGTGTCAGCTAGTGCCTCCATGACCCAGCAGCTCCTGTCGGGTCGAGTTCCTCAACCGAAGCCTTTCAGGGTCACGAATGCTGACCGCAGTGTGAAAAAGGGTATAATGGCAGACACGCTAGAAGACCTGACAAATAAGGTGAGAGAAAGATGTGAGGTGTAAAAATGCTGTGTGTGTGTGTCGGGGGGGGACTTGGTCAGCAGCTAATAATCACGGTAAGGTGGTCACAAAGCATTTGGACTAAAAACAGAGGAATCAGGAATCATTCTGTGGTGTGTATTGACCATTGAAATTAGATAAAGGTTTGCCACTTGTTGCTGCACCATCTGAAGTGGTTGAGTGTGTTTCGAGCTCATGTAAGTGAAATGTAACAAGAAAAAGGGCTGGTGTCAGACTATAATAATGTTAATTTATAAAGAAGCCAAATTTAATAAAGCCTAAAGTGTCTTAGCAAGATCTGAATGGCTTCAGTATGCCTTGGCATTAATTCAGTGCTCCTTGTACCTTTTGGTAAAGGGATGAAAAACAGGCTCCCTGAATCAGCTTCTTAATGATGGCTGTGGAGAGTGCCGTCTGACAGAATGGTGTAAAGGCTCTGATGGGTGTTGAGAAGGTTATCATATATGATTCCTAGCGTTTTCATTACTCATCAAGCCGTCTGGCTGTTGCCTCAACAGTGGGGTCATCACAGAAGAGACCGCTCCAAAAATAAATGTTTCAGAACAGCTGTGTAATAACTGCTTTATGGTTTGCGGCATATTTTCTTTTGATGAGGTCACTGTATGTATTTATTTTTTCCTCATCTCTACTCTCGCTCAGGTCAGTGACTCGTTGGGTATACTGTGCGTCAGTGTGTTGGTGTTGGATGAAGATGGCACTGGTGTGGACACAGAGGAATTCTTTCAAACGCTCCCAGAAAATGCTGTTCTGATGGCTCTGCAGAAGGGACAGAAGTGGAGCCCACATCCTGTATGTAGTTTTGATTAGCCACTAGATGGCACTCTTGGCCAGCAACTTTACTTCATTGTGGCCATGCAAATATTAACATATTGATAGGCAGTGATTCTTTGATGTAGACTGATAGAAAGGCATAATGCAGCAGCCATGAATGTGGACCAGTCTGTGTTGTGATACATTGGCTATCCAGTTAAATTTTCTATCCATCAAATTAAATGGAAGGGCAACATGCCATTTGTTGTGCAAAGGCAGAACGCAGAGTGAACCTCACATTAATTTCTCCCCTCTCAATATTTTTGAGAAAAATGGAAGGCAGGGGTGTGATACTAACTGGACATGAGGGGTTTGTTAGATTGCAGTAACATTCACACAAAAGCAATTAACTTTCACAGAAAGTGATACATGCATTAATTTGGACCCCTTCCCAAATGTTTTCTGCAACGACCCCTCATTGACCTTTTTCTCATTGTCATTTGCTACTCACATCATCGCTGGCAGGAGCGCCATCAGTGTGTAGTTCAAGTGTGTGGCGGTGGAGTTGAGCGCTAATTTGTGCCCATTTGTCCTGACTCATATCCCTCATCCTGTCGTCCCACAGTACAACCTCTCCAGAGATTGCCTTATTGACTACAGGCAGCAACAGCAGCGGAGAGATGTGGCCAAGCTGACCTTTGACCTCTACAAGAAAAACCCCAAAGATTTCATTGGCTGCCTGAATGTGAAGGCAACGCTGTATGGTGTTTATACTGTGTCCTATGACCTGCGCTGTTACGCTGCCAAAAAGATGCTAAAGTGAGTGATGGAGGCTGCCAGAATATTCTGATATTTTTGTATTTTGTGTTGAACTATTATGTAACTGATTGTTTTTTCAGAGCATCTCTGTGGCATCTTTACTGAAACATATTGTTTGTAGTAATAGCTTAATCCACTTAGAGCTGAAAACTGATCAGTGTGAATGAATTTCTAATGCATAAATTAGCACGATTATCTTTTGAGAATTTTTAGTATTTTTTTCCCTCCCGTGCTTCTCTTATAAAAGTATTAAAAGCAGACCCTTGTGTATAAATGATGCACTCAGGTTTGAGCGTGTACGCCTGTGTGGGTGGTGAAATGCGCAGACCCTAGAAGACCAAAGGCTAGATTTTACTGAGATTAATTTTGTTATGTCATCGCTGCCGAGACCTGCTGGTTTTCAGCTTTGGCTCGGAGCTTCAGTTGAGAGGATTACATTTTGCAGACTTGTCAAATGCGACGCTCCTATTGCAGGATGTGTGGTTTAAAAGGTCGTGGATATCAGTTTTATGAAATTCAGTTGATGTCAGAATTGAGCATCTGAGGTCGTGACTATCACGACTATCTCTCCTCCTTGTGTTGTGACTTGTCTGAATTATACCAGACTGATACTAATATCTCGTTACATGCAGGCTGTTTGTGTGGGCCTATTGGTTTCCACTCATGTCGCTGTAAATGGGAACTGGCTATTTATGACCATCCTCCCTCTCGTTCTCATGTGTGTTTTTCCAGGGAGGCTCTGCGATGGACCATCTTCTCCATGCAGGCCACAGGCCACATCCTGCTGGGCTCCTCCTGCTACATCGAGCAGCTGCTGGAAGAGGAGGAGCGAGAGGAGAAGAGCCTGGCGCTGCCACAGGAAAGCAGGATCAGACAGCTGCAGAACATGCTGCTGGGAAAGATTTCTTACTTATGATAGACTGACAGTGGTGAGGTTGAGCTCTTACCTACTCTTAGATGTATGTCACAGTGTAGTTGTCACAGATGAAGCATGCAGTTCGTTTCATCATCTCATGGTTTCCAGTGCAGTTTGGCAACGTCATGAATTCAGCAGCCTCTTTTCATTGTCACTGGGTTTTTTTTTTTTTTCTGTTACATTTGTTTACCTCTTATGTATGTATAAACCAATGCCACAATTTATTCCTCTAAAATCACTTTTACTCACTATTGTGCAACTTTTTCCTATGATGATATAATAAATAAAAGCAACTGTTTTTATTTTGCCATTCCTGAAAGTTCATTTAAATGTGAATGCAGCAAACCCACAAGACACTTTAGAGAGTGAGAGCGAGAGAGAGTGTGGGTGGGTGTGTGTGTGGGTGGGGTTACAGAACTAGCAACAGGTCCAGCTGTCTCTCCCACGCTTCCCTAATTGTCCCCTGGGCTGCAGTGTCCTGTCAGCTGCAGCCTGCCTCTGTCTCAGAAAACCAGAGCAAAAGATTGAAGGAACGGGAAACAGCTAGCAGCTGCATGGGGTGAGGGGACGGAAGCAAACCATTACAGAGAAAGATGTTTTCAGCTGGCAGCAGAAGTGCCACTTGTGCCATCTTGCTGAGGAAGGCGGTGGCAAAAGCAGGACCGATTTTAGCCTAAGTGGCTGTCTTGCATAACCTGATGAACTGAGTGCGACTGTAGTCTTGTCGCGCAGCGTTATCTAGAAGATTCCTTTTTGCTTTGAAATTATCTACAGAAAATAACTTGGGTTGGTCACTTGATATTCAGTCCATGTCTCTAAATTCATGAACTACTTGCACACATTCATGTATACACAGTGCAAATACTAACAATGGCCATTTCTTCCAAATTCTTTGCAGTGAAATGAGGCATGAGGTACATTCTGTGTCCTGCTGTCCCACAATCATTGTCTGGAAACAAGGAGGCACCACTCAAGAGTGTGTGTGTTTAAAGTAGCAAAGATTTAATCAATGTTGATGCCTTTGGCTTGTGTTAGCTCTTTCAGGCTGTGGAGCTTGTCTGCATTTTTAGGGTTTTTATGCACACGTGCACCAGTAAAAGTAACTGGCCATGTGTTGCTTTAATATTAGTCAACTTTAATATTAGTTGACCTTGACCAGGTTTGATTGTAAAATTATAGCTGTATTGTAAAATCTGATTCAAGAAAAAAATTGGATCGCCATGCTACCAACGTAAAAAGTGATTCAAACTTTTTTTTTTTTAGCAGCTTCTTGCACAAAAACAGGCTCATAATCATCTAGATCAGGCTTCAAAGCTGTTCCTCAAATACCACTACAACTATATTTTCAAATATTAGTCATTTAACTTTGTAAGTGATGTACAGTGTTTGGTCGTGATGATCCCGCCTCCTTCACCCAGTCAGCTGAAGTCATCCAGGCGGCAGAGTCCTCTGTGGATCCAGCAGGGGGATAAGCTGCAGCCGTCTGTCTGTCCCACCAGGCTGTGTTGCTGTTAGCACTCCTTCCTGGAGCTGCTACCGCTGAGCATGCGCTCGGTTCCTACACACCACTGGACAGAAGGGACGCTTCTCATCAGCACTCTCACGATGAAGGAATGGATCGTTGAGCCCAAGGTTCTGAAAGGTAAGAGTGCTAATTGGCAATAAATAAAAAATGGATTAAAAAAAAAAACGAAAGCGAGTTTATCCACGTATCCATTAATCTGACGGAGACATTTCAGTATAAAATGCGCAGCGCTTGGCAAGTATTTGGCATGCACGTCATCACCGTCCATTATTAAAAGTTACTAATTAAAGGTCTGTTGATTAGTATGGATGGATTTCACATATTAAACCACCTGCTTAAGTTTTGAAAATGCTTAAGTTTAACTTTTACGCAGCGTATGTTAAACGCAAATTTAGAACCTGATGTTTATGAACTATTATGACTGCACGTAGCGCCGATTGCATCTAACTTAATGTGTTGATTGGGCTATATGCAGCTTTGTATGCAGGGTTCGTGTGTGATTAAAGATGTTGTTGCGCATCGCTCCGCGCGCTTTTTTGGCTCAGAGTGCTTCACGAAATATCGATTTAGCGGAGGAATCTGGGTTTTATTAGAACCTCCGGCTGTGTGTGGGAGTGGGTGCTTGACACAGTTACGGGCTCCGAAGCTCTGTGTTTTCTCCCACGCTCCTGAGGGAGTCATCAACGCGGTCCGCTGGAAACATTTCACCGCGCGCATCAAAGTGTGGCTGTCTGTTTGGATTGTGTGTATGCCTGCAATGCTTAACAGTTTGTGTTTTGCTGTGTGCTCCAACGGCCTTGGGGACATGCACAAGTCGTAATCTCACAGCCCGCCAGCCTACAGTTATTACTGACCATACCTACTTCACATTTTTTATTCATGATGGTAAGTTACCACAAAATCCATATTTTGGCCCCATTTGCACCACTTTAAAACTTAAAGTTAAGATAGACTTCTCCCTGCACTTTATTTTGGTTAAGTATCAGCAATTTAAAACATTTTAGGCAAAGAAATATATTTTTCCCTGTGATTAAATGTCTGAAAAAGATGTGATTGCAAGTCTGCTTTTCAAAAATACTTTTAGATTGAATGAACAGTCAAGAAAACAATCTGAAAATTGATGATGGAAAAAGGAAAAAACTATTAGCTGCAGTTAGTGGTCCAGATGTATTTATTTTCAGAGGCACAGAAGACAAACAATTTAAATTTGCTCTGGGCAGAGTCAGACTTGCTGTCTGCCATTATAAAGTCAAATAAATAACTTGATACTTGTGCAATCTGCGGGCTGCGTCATGCAGGTTCTGTCTCAGCGGTTAATCGTGAGCAACACTTTGTCAAAGAACAAAAACAAGAAAAAAAAAAGATGTGCAGAGGACAAAGGACGACTTGGAAAATGAAACTAGACGCAGCAGGCGAGATGAGGAGTAACAGAGAAAGGAGGGCGGCTGCTGACAACAGTGTGGAGGTGGAGGAAAGTAAAGAGAAAAAGGGAGAAGTCTGATGAAAGTGTTTGGTCCGAGCTGTGTCTCCACCATACGGTCCCCGTGTTCTGCTGTGAACGGCTTTGATTGTGAACATGAAGGAGAGAAAGCAAATCCTGCCGGACACATGAAGGCAGAAAGTGTGTGTGTGTGTGTGCCTGTCTGTCTATGTTGCCATCTCACTAAATGGATAAACTGTCTTCTAACTGCTCTTTTGCCAAGTTAAATAACCTTATGAGCTTTCACCAAGAAGCTATTTCTCTCATATCTCTCATTCACAACACACATCTTCTCTCCTCACCTGTTCTGCCTCTTCCCTCAGCTTAGGTTTTCTATGGCTGGCTATTTCAGGTCCATATTTTGGCACTGCAATGAATTATTCAGGTAACAGGACAACATAAAGGCCCTCAGTAGGATGCTTTGCTCAAACCTGAATTACCCCTCTGCCATCTGGGAAGTCTGCCTGAATAATGGATTTGTTTCCCCAATACCAAGTTGTTTGATGGTCTGTAACTGAAATGGCAATAGGTGCACTCACAGTGTGTGTGTGCAAGTTAACTCCTCCAATCTTCCCAGCCATCATTTAAAGATATGAATGCATTAAAGATTACTCTTAGAAAAAAAAGTCTGAAATTGCTTGATTATACTCCCCATATCTCTTTTGAAGCATTCTCTGGAGTCTACATATTTCATGCCTTCCTGATTGCTTTTTTTCTATTTTTTTTTTTTTTTCAGCTTCATTATGAAATGAATGGAAATATTTATGACATCAGGAAAGCTATAATCTACCATAGAAAAAAATGGATGCAACTTAAACAGCGGTCATAAATTAAAGATTGTAAAAAGCCCAGACAATCGATCAATAAAGCAATCAAACGGACGCAGACCATTTACTTTGCCCCTCGGTGCTTGAAAACTGTGGTGAGACACTACAGTACTTACAATATTATGTTGTAAAGGGTTTCTTTATGCACAGTATAAATTGTTTGGTTCCCTTTTGTTTGTTTTGTATCCTGTTCAAGTGCAAGCAAATATAAATCAGCTAGTTTTGATTCCTACAGTTTAAATTTATTTTGACACCAACTTGAATTTTCATGTCATTTCAATTTTAAGTCACCAGGAAAAAGAAATGCCACATTTATCAAAGTCTGACGGGTCTCTAATGAACACAAGCGGATGCACAGATAGTGACCCCCAAGATTAGCAGTTAATTTGTAGACTGAGTCATGGTCAAATATCATCCAGTGGAATGGCGATTAGCTGTGTTTTTATTCAAAATAATAGGGATCTGTCAAAAGTCAGATCTCCACAACTCACGAGGAAGTGAATAACGGTACGAACAAATGCAAGATGCTGATGATTGTCGGGCTGGAGACACATCTCTGAAGAGTCTGGACTCCATCAATCCACCGACAGACAAATGAAGGAAGCTGAAGACCTTGTTACCCTCCACAGGAGTGATCAGCCAGCGGAGATCACTTCAGGAGCGGGACATTTAATAGTCGCGGAGGTCTAATCAATGAAAGGTCTCTCTCACATTGACTAACGTTCAGGTTTGTGAGTCCACCATCAGAACAGTTAACAATCGTGTGCCTGACAGGGCTGCAAGGAGAAAGCAGCACGCAACACTGCAACTATCACAGCTTTGCTCCACAGTTGCAGGCAGAAAAGCCGAAAGGAAAACAGAACTTTTAGGTGTCAACGTTGCAGCTCAACATGATCCAATCTGTGAAACATGGTGGTGATGGTATCATGGTTTGGTCATACTTCGATGGCTCTGCACGAGGCTCACAGGCACTGTTAGAGCAATGAGTTTTGAATCGTGCTCTCGAATTCTAAAATACACAAACGACATGAAGTGAAATATTTAAGAGAAAATATGCGTGCAGCAAGACAGTGATGCAAAACATACAAGTTGCTGTGCAAAGAACGGACAAAGAAGAATAAAGATGATGTTTTGTGGTGGCTAAGAAAAAGTCCTGATCTTAATCCTGAAGAAATGTTGTGGAAAGACAAAACCATCAGAGGATGTTTTAGGTCATATTAGTAAAGGTGTATTGATGATTCCTCACAAAAAATTTTCTTGCTGATGCTTCCTCCCTTTCCACTGTAACCATTGTTGTGATGTATGTGATGCAGAAAAAGTGGATCTTGAGTAGGAATGGTTTTGTAAAATGAACTCGTAGAATTTGTATTGTGCAGTGTCCATGCTGTCATATCTACACGCGAGGGATGATGGAGATGTACAGAACAACTCAAACTTAACTAAAAACTAAAACATTTTAGTGACCAACATAAAATAAAAACTAGACTTTTGAAAATCAGCCGTGGTAGGGGCGGTGTTTAATTGTGTTTTTCGCGTCACAACCATATCAAACTAGCATTTACATTGAAGCTTATTGTTTACCTTTAGAAAATTCCCGTGCACTTGATAATAATATGCATGATCTTTGCATGAAGTTGGAACATGGAAACCGTAATTTAATCTAAGTTTAAGGACAGATTCACTCAAGGATCTAGACTTCAGTCTGGATTTATTATCGTTTCATCTGCTGCCGCACAAATAATGGCAAACCTTTGCAGCACTGTGAGACAGTCTGAACTTTCATCTTCTCTTCTTTCACCTTTTTCTCCAAGACCACTTACTGTCAGCTCAGCAGGCATCCTGTTGTGAAAGTGTGTTTGTGTGTGTGTGTGTGTGTGTGATTGTATGTGTCTTACTCCAGCCAATTGTGCTGCAGAGGAGCAATGTGTTGTGCTCTTATGTGTCATTTTGTCTCTGTCTTCGCGTGGTGACTAGAGAGAGAGCTTGATGTCTCAACAGGAGTCTACATGGTGCACACACAGACACACACACAGACACACACTCTCACACACACATTGTGCTGGTGGGTGTTTATTACACCGACTGAACGTACATGTTCTGTGTTCTCATGCTAGCTTCAGCCTTTTTGTGTTGTTCGTCACCCCCTCACTGCAGACTTCAGTGCTGTCATCCCTGCTCTTCTTCTTCTTCTGCGCTGCTTTGTCCTTTGTAATGTCTTGTGAGAATCAGAGCTCCTTCAGCTTGTTGGTGGCATTCTTGTGATTAAGCTGCCTTTTATCTTTTTTTTTTTTTTGTACAAAAGTTTGAATGATCAGATTCCCAGAAGCTAGATTTGATGATTTTTCCCAATGCAGTGATCGCAAAACATAAATGTAACATGAGTACATTCACGCTGCACATACTGATCACATTATCTTTTTATTTTAATGCGACTTTTTCTGTCCTGCTGCCACACTGACTCACTCAACAGCAGCACAGGCAGAAACTTTATTCTCTCCTCGCACCTTTCTTTGTTGGAATTTCTAATCTGATTCGATTTTCAGGTATCTTTTATAACTTTATATTTTAGTGGAGGAAAAACACTGTTTTTGAGCTAGAAGCTGAGTAAAAGTTTTTAAGATGTAGAGCAGCGAACACATCAACCCCTAATGTTGGAGATTGTGTACGACATTGTGTATGTTGAGATTCTCCTTATTTTAGCGTGTGGTTTTAACCACCAGTTAGGAACACATGCATCGGGTAGCAGGCGCTTTGGTTAGTGTTTAAACGAAAGAAATAGCTTGCACCTGAGGACAGCAGCTACAGTCTAC